TCAGGAGAGGTCTGCCACACCATGTGGGCCACATCCCTGGCCGGGAATTCAACTTGTGCTGCAGTTACTGCAAATAGCTTCATAATGCTGCACTTTAACCTTTTGTACCACAAGGGTGGGCCCATAATTATATTTTTATACTTATATATTTGTGTGCATTTTATATTACTTTAGATAACAAAGTTGACAAAATAATGTCAGTGGTTATTTTCTTTATTTATTACATTATTCTTTATGCTCATTATTGTACTCCATACTTACAATATAAATTAGAAAACACTTACAAATTATCTCCAATTTTCCTAAGTTGTACACATCTATCTGTATTTTCTACAAAAAAAAATCTTTGATTTGCACAAAGAAAAGAAATTGAAGAAAATGAAAAATTTCATATACTACAAGCAAAGACAGCATAAATTTAGTAAGAGTAGTAAAGAGATTTTGGTTTCAGTGAGATCTGGGTTTGAATTCCAACTTTACCACCTACCTAGCTACCTAAGTAACATGAAGAAAGTAATTAAATTTTCTCAAGCTAAATTTGACCTTTATAAAGGTGATAACACTTTGCTAATGTGCCTGAAATGGGCAATAAATTGCAGGCATTATAAAATAAATGACAACTACTTTGCCTTTGAAAAGTCTGCAAATTTGATGAAAAGTTAATACTGAGCTTTTCCCTGTTTATATGAGCTTCAGTCTATTTTGATTTTACAAACAATTGGGTGGGACATTAGTATGGAAAGCTCCTAACTGGAGCTTTCTCTCAAACCTCCTCCAGACTCAAACTAACGTGGAGGTATACTCCTTGCCTGCCAAGTCTCAAAGCCATCTACTACATGGGACTTTATCAGAACTGTCCCTGGCCCATTCAAGATTGTGGGCTAGAAGCTACACCACTTGGGTGCCAACCTCACAATCAGTTCTATTCGCCCCAGGACTATTGTATATTCTCCAGCTCACCGACTGTGCACATCTCAGTGAATGGCAAATGATTATTAATGTCAAATGTATTTGAAAAATTATCTGGAGGAAAGGAACTGACATTTATTTAAAGATCAACTAAGTGCTGATAAACTGAAGCACATAAAGAGTTTATTTGAGCAATAAAGAGTTTATTTGAGCAAAAATCAGTTCAAATAGGGCACCGACTAACCAGAATTACATTCTACAAATAGGAGATAGGGGCAAAGTTTTTATAGACAAGACACAGAAGCAAAGTAGGAAATGATTTCACTGGCTACAGCGTAAGTGTTTCTGTTATTTGGGAAAGCCTGGTTGCCTGTGACTGGTTGCCTTTGGATTTCTATTTTTAACCTGGACGTATTTACAGATTTTGGCTTGCTTATGGTTAGTGTTAAGGGCTAGTACCCCCTCAGTCAATGGCTACTTTAATTCATTTGACACTATGCTAAGGGTTACGTTATATCACCCTTCTCTTAATTCTCACAGCAACTCGCAGAGGCAGGAATTTTCTGAAAGCAATCTGAAAATACCAAACAATACCAATACACACATATAAATGTAACCCTGGGAATATATCCCAATTCAATAGATACACAATTAGTAATTGTATACAGATAACTAATGCAAGTCTATTCAGGGTGGTATAAACTGAAAATAAAGCAAATATAGAACATTCATCAAATGATTGCTACCATAAGACTATGGAAAAGCTTTTCACTTTATGTATAAAATATGTACCCTTTATATCTATAAAATATGTACCCTTTTTTTTAAAGATTTTATTTACTTATTCATATAGAACTAGGGTACAGGACAGAGATGTGGAGGGTGAGAGGATTCCCCAGAGACAGAGTGGGCAGCAGAACAGGCAGATCAATGAAGTACACTGCTGAGGGGAGCAGCAGGCGGGTCAGGAGAGGTCTGCCCCGCCATGTGTATCTCTTCCGAGGCAGGCGGGAATCGAACTCATGCAGAAGTGGCTTAAGCTTCTTAGTGCTGTGCTTTAACCCGCTGTGCCACCAGGGAGGGTCCAAATATGTACCCTTTCATCTTACTATGCACATAAATTAAATTTTAGGAAAAGGTGAAAAATAATAGAGTTTATAATTCCACAGAGTTATATGTATACAATGTTCACTAGGCTCTTTATTTCTAAAAAATGTGCACAAAACCAAACACACACACACACACCCCAACAACAAAAGCATCATTCCAATATGATTAGTCATTTATGTCTAAGTGATTAATACCAGGCACAGGTCATGACCATAATTGAAAGTATGATAACATATCACTTTGCTCAGAGACTAATGAGTAATTTTATATAATTTAGTGAGCAGGAAGGGTCCTAACATCTAGTCCTCAAGCTCAGACAGGTCCTGATGGAGAACTGCTGAGGCAGCCTGATAAAAGCATCTACATGCACACAAGACTGTAAGATGCTCCTGAGAGAGAACTTGAATTAAATGAGGCAGCCAGTTTGAAGTGAGGCAATCCATCTCATAGCAATGCCTGAATCACCAGGAGTGGAATGTTTCTGAGCAGAGGCTGGGCAGTGGTTCTCAAATCTATCTTGATCTCACATGCAGTAGGGAAGAGAAAGGAAAGGTCAATTCTGAAACAGATTTACTAATCTTTCTGAGGCAGTGGGGCACAAATTAACTATATTACTAGGGCAACCCAACCACAGAGTAAAACTAACAAAGGAGTAGAAGCAGTTTCTAGGACTTTGCCAAAAGATCTTTGATTATCTGAAAGTATCACTGAATAAGTAGTGGTGTCTATTATGAGGATAAGGAGTTCAGAAAATACCCAAAACTGAAGCAGAGCCTAAGGTAGACATAGTGATACCCACAGAGGAAGTGCCATAGTCACAAGTGCCAAGGAAATGACATCTTCAAGGCAGCTCACTAGAGGTTCTTGGTAATCAGACATCCCTTGAAGAGTCCCAAAAAATGAAGAGAAGGGAGCGATTCAAGCCTTTGTAGAGATCTACAGTTTTTGCAGATTGGCAAAGCCAGTGAAATCTATGTTGTTACTCTTGTGATCCCACTTACAATTTTCGGTTGATCAAGCATTGGAAATCCTGAGTCATA